TTAGAATGACTTAGCGTTACCTTCATCTATCAACAAGAAGTATGGGCAACGCGTGGATGAACATACTAAATGTCACTACTTTCACATTGGATTCTGCCAGAACTTTCTGTGATCAATAAATATTCGAGAATCTTCAAAACAAATGTTGCTGAAACCGGTCTCGATGCTACTGCTTCCGAGTATTTGCTTCGATGGGTTGGTAGTATGCATTCTCATGTATCTTATATATATACATAACGTTAGATAATCATACAACACAAACGTTGCTTGTCAAAGGAAAGTTATTTAGGCATAGTTTTGGTTTCACAAATGTTTTAGCTATAATTTTGAACACTAATTTTACATTATTAATCAGATGGGGTGACTGTAAGCCAATTACAACAATTACATACTCTCGGCTTGTAATAATTTAATTAGACGAGAAACCATTTTATATGCTCCACTCTTAGACAAGCAGATTAGCTATTGAACATTACATCAAAGGTCACTGCTATAATTATCACACATATCTTTGAGCAATATCCCAAGGATGAAAGATGAAGAATAACATTCTGACCAGACTACGTCAATGAGGACCCTCCCATTTCACACCTCCTAGAGCGCCACCTAGTCCTGGTTCATACATCGTCTGCCCAATGCAGCATCAGAGACAGCAAGGAAGATCAGTTCTGATAAAGGTTCATCAAAGATTAAATTGAGCAACGGATTTCATCTTAAATAGTACTATTAAACAAATGTTCCCAACAAGTTTGATCAACACAGACATATATTTAAACAATAAGAACTTCCTTCTGATGTCAGTCCATTCTATTTTACACCTACACCATGCTTTTGATTGCGATAACACTCTTTTCATGTTAACGATATAAATAGTTCACAATACATATGTTGTAGACTATTCAGGCTAAAAGGTCGCTAAAATTAGTTCTTTTGTAATGAATGAGCATCCAGCACTCTCATGACTATGATAATTTTTATATAACTAAACTGAACATCTGAGATCTTTATCAGGAATTTACCGATAGAGTACCACCAAACACGACACACGCCTAAACAATTGTTTTAAATAATCCCGGAAATGGGCGTTCTTGTAATTTCGTAGAAGTCCTATTATAATTTCACAACACAACAAACCGAAACATGAGTTTCATGGCTTTTTCAGCCGATCCGAATTTGCTCGTGAAAGTGAAGAGACGCTACAAACAACTATGGTTACACGATATTCCAAGTCCTTGTTACAAGCAATGGTATTTACAAGTTTAGGGCAGCATGACCTTAATCTAAGATATCACAGACTGCCCCTGTTTGACGAGGTCGTAAAATGATTCAAAATTATCTGGTCTACTGGTTGACTCGGTATCTGTTGTTTACGTATTAAGTGTATTTTGTAACGTACAGTATGCCGGATATAATATCAAGGTCGCAATAAGACTGCCAAATATTTCCAGCGGCCAAGCCTCGTTTTCAGATTCCACCATTTCCAGATTTCCGTTTGTCAGAGCACGCTGGGGAAGCCAGAGTATCGCTGCACGACGTGTTTGCAAGGATTGGAAGGAGCGTAATGTTGCAATATATACTTCCCAAAATGAAACGCTACCAGAAAATAAGGAATTTCTATGTAGCAAATGAATTAAAAAACGTGATTCATTTTTACGAAAGGTTTTGCTCTGTTTAAGATTCCTATGGTGTTTGTGTTTTGACATCACATCACAACAATGCACCATCTGTAAAATACTCCGTATTTAACAGCATGATTTCTAAGTCTCGGCGTGTAGTGCTCACAGAATACACAATTCACATGTGCAACGCACGAAAGTTGGGATCAGATAGTCTCAATCGATGGGCGGCGTGCTGCTGATCGCTGGTCTCGTCGATTATTCACTGTATTTGGGCCATTGCTGACGAACGCAAAATGCCACTGCTCCAAGTGAAGCTTCAACCGTCATATCGCCATTGGTTTGCTTGAAGCTGGCTGTAGTCTCAACGTGCAGTTGCCTGGACGCAATGAATGTTCACCAAAGCAATTCATTTCACGGCCCTGGGAGAGATATCGCTGGCAGAATGGCAGCAGATATTCCTCGTAGTGCTTTACCCACGAGCGACCGATTGAGGCGCAGGATCGCCACATCCGGTACATCACTCCGCGCCATCGAACAGCCAATACGGCAAATCCTGAAGGCACTGGCTCGGATTAAATACTCCGATTGAGGAGGCTTTGCACAGACCACGGAACAGGTTGAGAGGCTGGTCGATGCCAGAAGACCTGATGGCCTCTGTGCTTCGACAACAACATCGTCGACATCGAGTTCACCGGCATCAACGTCTTCAGGCCTGGAACCTACCGAATTGGCGTAGAATCTGGTTCAGTGATGAATCAACATTTCATTGAACGACGCGATGGAAGAATGTGGGGTACAGACGTCGACGTGAACGTTTCTCCGACGCTTCTGCGTTCTGTGACGCATGATCTTCGGCCGACAGTGTTATGATGCGGGGAGAACACCCGCCGCAGGGGAGAAGTGATTTGCGATGACCAGGGCAACCCGCATTTGTACCAACGGTACTGTGACGCATCCTACGCCCATCCTCCTTCCAATAATTGATCGATGAGGAGTTGTTTCAACAGACAATGCCATATCCACACACACGTCACACTAAAGACTTCCTCCAGAACCGCCAACATCAATGTGCTCCCTGGCCCGCAAGATCACCGGGCTTAAACCCGATCGAACATCTGCGGAGTGCCCGACAGACGGCACGCAACCCTTCAATATCAACTCTACAACCGCGTACAGCACCACAGGCAGAGGGCGACGGGCAACACTATATTCCTGGTGATATCTGTTCGATGCCGATATGCAGTGCCAGCAAGTTCTGGATGCCCACGGTGGTCACACGAGGCATTGACTTCCAGTCAACCACATCGTCTCCATGGATCAAACTGATTCTTTCCGAGTTAGTGCCAAAGATTTGATAAGTCTTTCATTCACAGTGTGCAATTTCGCTATATTTCATTGACTACAAAGCCTGCAAGATGTTTGAAAATAAACATAAAAATGCAGTTGAAATTTATATGCGTTTCTTTTTGGGGAGAGTATATAAGTGATTAGATGTATCAACAATACTGATTAATATCTATATATATACACTTGAACGAGCAAGTTAAAATTCTGGACTGGTTATTGTACTAAGTTGCGCAATAGGACGGAACCCAGTCAGCAGGAAACGGGACTGTTGAGTAATCAATGTTTTGACTACAGGAGTCTCGAAAATAGACTAGATAATTACATTGCTAATTCAAATTCAAATATGATGTAGAACAATGACAAAAAGGTTAATCAGAATTAACATGACATTTTCAGGAGGAGTGATGAAGTTTATGCCGCACTCAGCCCTATATGGCGGCGGTTTCAGTAAATAACGATTCGACAAAGACACTCAGTGATCAACATCATGAGCGCCGATCTGCGCAATTAAAACCGATGATGATGTGGTCAACCAAGTCAGCGAGTCTGACCACCAGATCCCAGCTTATGGCCTCATTCGACAAGCATGGGTTACTGAAGATAACACTTAACCCGGATCTTCGCCGGTAGACATTTTCAGAAGAATTGGGGTAGGTGGTAGTTAAAGCATAATGACACTCCAACACTATATACGACAGTATGTAAACTAGAAACATACACAACACATTTGTAGCCAAAATCCGAATTAGTGAGAATTTATATTAAGAATTTCTGTTTACAGCTACTAATATAAATCCGCATTATCCCTCAACTTTACCAGAAGTGATTGCCATGTATTATTGAATAAGGTTATTCATTAATAAAGATAATAACACAAGATACACACGTTGAAAACAAGATGCTCGTTATAAAATGAACATCCGGTTCACCAGCTCCCTTTCATGTGTTGCAACTACGATCTTGCCTCGCATGAGCACAAACGTTCCTCCCGGCGTTCACATGCAGCTTGGGAACCATGTGACTAATCGCGATACAAATTATTTGAAGTGATACGCTCTCTCCACATTTAACCAAGATTTTTACTATATATGGACTGGATGTAATGGTGACGAACAAACATTCCAAAAACTCAACTGCGATAAATTTAAAGCGCATTAATTTCCCATCCAATTTATCAACAACCTCTCTCACGGCACACATACATTTTCTATTAAGAGACGCATTACAAAACAGACCACCTCCAATTGCAAGTATATTGTTGCCAAATTAATCAACTTCTGTTTTTATTTTAATCAGACTGAATAGTTGTTGTTACCATTTTCAAAATTGGTTTTCAAAAGCATTTTCAACAAAATGTAGTGTTTTTTGTAGTTGTATAAAACGTGGATGTTGCTTGAATAATGCTCATTTGTATAAGCAGGTACAAGTGATTATACTATGCACCAAGCAGCTGTGGTCCAGCCTCCAAACAGCCCCACTTGGATACCCAGCGTGAAATACGGTCCACAAGTGAGCATCAGCTTGGCCACTATATAGTTTAATACCCAAGAAAACTGGTTACCATGCTGATTAGTTTATGGGCGCTTAAGAAGAATTCAAATTATACATATTATACTCCATGGCACAATTGTCCAAAACGCCACACGTCGTCAGGTGATTACTATCCATGAAAACCTGCTTCATCTATTGTCCCCCATCAGAGGCTCCAGCCTAGCGCAATCCTTCTGACCATACTGTTTCGTTGTCAAATGTAATCTTCCATACAAACCTTTCGCTATACCACCATTTGCAATTGTCCACATTGTATGCCGATAATTATATATGTAGCGGATTAAGGCTGCAGGGTATGATTAAGAGCTCAACTTTGCCTCTACGTACACACATACCAATAACAAGTGATGTACCTGATAACAACAAAGGCTGCAAGGCAGGTTGATCCGATCCGCAGGTTCGAATCGATAGACTGAATCCTAAACACGAATCCAGTTTACAGACAAAGTGTTATCCCAACGTAACATGTTTAACAGGATCCACCCCTATGTGTTTCCCGTGTGTCTCCCTTGCCAGGCCCGGGGATCTCCATACCTGACACACCGATGGGTGGCGGGGAGAAGGAAAGACTCGCAGGAAGAGATGTAATCACACAGGGTTTCACACTGGCGCGAGAATTTACTTAAAAGCAACGTACAGTTCACACTGATCACCTTTTGACCAGACTTCCATGACCCACACTGTAGAGGGATTGTAGCAATATCTCCACTAAGCTCAGCAGCAACACAGCTTCTGAAACAGACGTAGCGGCAAATGCCCACAAATTATTGATAACTCTTTGTGTCGTGTCGATCTTATAGAGTCATGTTATCGACAGCTGTCATCACGCATCCACGTGTAAACCAAATCAATAGCATATACGCACAGGAAAATTTTATTTCTATTTACTTCATTTACCATCCGGAAAGAAAGCATCCGAGAATTATTTACGCTCTGGTGGTTTCCTTTGTTTATCACAGAGGAAGAAGTCTTCGCGGCAGGACGCAAATATCGGTATTATTATCGTTTTATTTATTTTGTAAATCGTCCTATTTGCTTTACACTGATAACTTTCATCACAACGTCGCAACATCGACTTCATTGTCAGGCACGTTGAACACCGCATCAGATGTACAGCTTGTAACATCAAAAAGTGATGCTTTGATTTAAAAGTTCGTCAAGCTTTCAAAATGAATATACAGGTTGAGAATGACAGGTTTTAATATATCACGCTTGAGGCCTGTAATAAACATTAGAAGCATTTAGAAGCTGGTTGTCCACGACGCCTGATTATGATTTTCATATTCGTTATTACGGGTCAAGGCTGAAAATGAAAAGCATAGATAGAGGCAGAAATAGATTTAAAAAGATGAAAGAAAACAAGTTGAAATCTTTATTGTGTGTGTCTTCAATGTTTTAGCAGCGTAGTTAATTAAACATAATTAAACTGTGAAACTGCATTAAGCAACACTTCTGATATAACCACTGCTTTTTAATCAATCCCTGCTATCTTTTGACCCAGGACATTTGTTTTGCCGATGAGTACATAAAACATGCCTGCTACTGAGAACAATTGGATACATACTTCCCAAAAAGAAACGTATATGCAGGAATTTCCAACTGCATCTTTAAGGTATTTTGGAACATCTTGCAGGCTTTGTCATCGAAATAAATTGCACACTGTGAATGCACCAACCGTCTTGGCAATCAACCTCGAGGAAAGTCAGTTTGAGGCCTCACGGAGACGTGGTGGCGCTGAAGTTACCAAAAAAATCACCGTGGGCATTCAGAATCGCACGGCATCGCCTCCTCGTTAATCGAACGAAATATGTCTCAGAATCCGTGTTGCCCAAACGCAGCCCACTCTGCCTGTAGTGCCTGCGGAGTTGCTGAAAGTGTTCAATATGGGTTATTAAGCGTCGCACCTGTCTGTCCAGGGCATCCCACAGATGTCTTTGATCGGGTTTAAGTCCGCAGGATCTTGAGGGCCAGGGGAGCACATTGATGTTGTGGTTCTGGTGAAGTCTCTAGTGTACACGTAACTGTGGTGGGGCCTGGCATTGTCCTGTTGGAAACAACTCCTGGCGATCATTGATTGGTAAGAGGTGTGGGAATATGATTTGCGTCAGCAGCACCGTTGAGCTGTCAGGTTGCCCTGATCATCACCAAACTACACTCTCCGCAGGTAACGCTCTTCCCACATCATAACACTTTCCCCCGGCCGAATCTGTCCACCTATTGGGAACGTGCAAGCGTCGGCGAAAACGTTCACGTCGACGTCTGTACACCCGCATTCTTCCATCGTGTCGTTCCATTAGAAATCGTGATTCATCACTGAACCAGATTCTACGCCAATTCGTAGGTTCCAGGCTCCTGAACGTTAAGTAAATTCATTGAACCTCGATGTCGACGATGCTGTTATCGAAGTACAGGCCAAAATAGGGGTCTTCTGGCACGTAAACCAGCCTCTCTCAACCTGTTCCCGACGGTCTGTGCAGAAAGCCCTCCCTCAATCCGGCATTTGTTGAGCGGTACCGGTCGCCGTAGTCTGATGACGCGGAGGTGATGTACCCGGATAACCTGCGCCGCAGTGGAAGTCGTTCGAGCGATGCCCACTACGAGGGGCATCTGCTACCGCATTCTGCCGGCAATATCTCTCCCAGAGCCGTGAAATGGCGCTTTGGCGGACATTCATGCGTCGGGCAACTGCACGCGTTGAGACTCGGGCAGCTTAAGCAAACCAATGGCGATATGACGGCTATTTCCACTTAGACGTGGCATTTTGCGTCTGGCCAACAACATTCCAAATACGGTGAATAATCGACAGACAGCGATCAACCTTTATACCCATCATTGGAGAATTACCTGATCCCCCAACTTTCTCGCCGTGCATTGCATGAATTGTGTATTCTGTAACACTACAGTCGAAATTGGAAAATTATCATGTTAACTACGGTTATTTTACGGATGGTGCGTTTTGTTGATGTTTCCAAAACATAAACACCATAGACTCATAAACAGAGCAAAAACCTTTGTAAAAATGAATCACGTTTTAATTCATTGCTACCTGGAAATTTCTATTTACGATGTAGCTTCTTTTGGGGAGAGTATATATTATTATGGTCAATAATTATTTATTCAAAACCAAAACGACCACCATGAATGTTTTTGGATCGAGGCGGAAAAAATAAAAAGTCTTATTACAAAATCAGTATGTCGATATAACGATCCATTTACTGCACAAAATCACTAAGTTAATATAAGGTAGGAAACAGTGTAAATAAACAAGGATTTCTGTGCCAACGTTGAAATCTCGGAATATTCATGTTCAAAATATTCAGTCGTTCAGTTACAAATGAGGATACACTATACTACGGTGTGCAGCAGGTTTCACAACAGGGACTCCAACTTACTACGCATCAACATTCATATAGATATTTATTGGAAGTGTATTCTGATACTTGATGATAGTGATGGAACGATCTAAGTACCATAAGGCTCATACAGTATTCATGTTTCACTAGCTTATACACTTCTAATGGTATTAAAGTGCTTGGGACCTTTAAGTTCGGAACATCATTTCATTCAATATTGAGAGTAAGTATTCTAAGCGTATCGCATGGTTTGTAACAGGAAATGTTAGATCATGTCGCAATTATCTTCCATCTTTTCATTTTGATAATGGAATATACAGATATTTGCTCTTAATGTTTACTTTCTTTTAAAACAAAGGTTAAAATTCATTGTAACATGTCCAAAGCATAACAGTCTTTGTGAAAATATATTTTTCAAACGTTTAGTAATCACAGACAGGAAGATGTCACTTTGCATGTCCAGAAAAACTGTTTTCACATCCTATATCTATGAACAATGAAAGGACTCCCCACAAATAAACCCTCACAGGCAACCCAACAAACAGCTTCAAACATCCATCGAATAACCCATTGACAAGAATCCACACAAGAATCACCACACCCACATCCATCTGCAAAGCCCCAATAATGAAACTTGTCGCTTCAAAGATTTGTGAACGTTAAATGAAACATAATATTTCCTTGTATGCAATTCAAATATAAAGAGAATCCCACAGTCAAACTTAAATTGGTATGCAAAGCGTACCTTTAGTATACACCATACGTAATGTTTTGCAACAATGTAGGTTCATTCTACAAACTCATTTTCAGGCAACACAATCATTTTCAGGCAACTAAACTGATTTCATATATCACTGAATAAATGTGGACATTCTGAAAATATTCCCATTATGACACCGTATAATTTATTTTAGTATAAATATAGAATGTTGCAAAGGTAGGTAATTTTGACAAGGCATTTGTTATGGCAGAATATGTATTAAGTATTCTTCATTGTGAATATTAACAACAAATCTCTCGACTGACAAGGTTTCTAAAATGGCACCTAATGTTATAAATCATTAGTTGTAAATAATAAAACACTGGTAGTAAGCAGCCCGTTCAAATTCATAGCATTAAACATAATCATTCTGGTTTTAAAGCAATTCTGGGGACCTTCTTCCATGCGACACGAACAGGTCGAGACCATTAATTTCACACTTTTCCGCCACCACGCTGCATCCAACGTTGAACGGTTTCACGGCAATAACGTCAATTGTTGATGGTCAAGGTCACCGCCTGCGGGGACTGCGGAAGGCTCGAATTCACGGCATCGAATCGTGTTGACTGTGTCCGTCTGTCAACGTTACGCAGCGTCTTGTCTTGCCAACGCTAATAACGTTACTGTCAGACGGTTCCGGCATAACGTGTGATGGCTGTCCGCCCGTTGGGAGGTGACACGGACCGCTGTACCTTGCTTGTCCAGTCTAGTGGGTACAGGAAGTAAACTTGCAATGGTCAGTCGGGTGTACGCGGCGTTTCTGTACCCAGCTTTAGTCCTATAAAAGCACCGCAAGACTATCCCACTCCCAACCTCCTCGGTTCTGCTGATATCTGCCTCCTTTCTTTGATGATCTGCAATATATTGTCTTTATTAATAATTATTTTCATTCCCAGCCATCAAAGAAAATCCATTGCACAAATCCCACCACCAAAAACGCCCATTAGTCCGACAAAGCTGCATTCGGCAATCTTTTCCACCCGATCCTTTCACGATGTATCAAAAGCTTAATTAAAAAAAATAACAATATGCGCCTTTCATTGTTAGTATATATAATGCTCCTCAAGGCATGAACTCAACTGAAAATCCACCACAAATGTATCAAGCTGGGCTGATGTGCCTATTCAAATCAAAGAGCAAATAGTACATATTGAGGCTATGTTACCGGTCCTTTTACAGGCTGTGAAGTTTTCATTAGCGACAAAAGCATAAAGCAGAATGAAGGGACGTTGAAAATGTTACTACTGTTTATTGAATACAGGTTTCTTATGCTTTTTACACACTCCTTCTTTCTTGTTCACTGATGAAAGCTAGAATAATACTCAAGAGGTTAAAATAATTATTTATGTTTGAAAGCCAGACTCAAATAAGACTTCGACTCATGTCGCTCTAGTTAATGACAGTGGAAACAACTCTAGTAGAACTTCTTATATTTCCGTTTATCTTTGGTGAGTGAGTGATGCGAGTCCATATTTAGAGTCACGTCGGCAATTAATCATCCATAATTGACTGCAAATAATATTGCTCAACAACAACAACCCGAAACACTCCTTGCACATTATCTACATGGGCTATAGTAGACCCTGGGAC